CTGTCATTATGATTGCATTCAGACGCGAGTGGAAGTAGTTACCCGGCCACAGCTGATCGAAGCCTACACCAGAATTCGAATGACAAAAGACGAGAATTTCATTGAGGTGTACGCTCAAATGGATGAACAGTTCAAGGAGGTACGGGGTGTGCAGAGTATGGGTTTGTGTTCAGTACAAAGATTATTCTGTGCAGGAACGACGAAAGCAGAAGCGTCGTCTTCAAGATCAGTTACGGCGAATCCGGAGGAACGAGGAAAAGGGAAAGACTGGACATACGCAGCAGGTACTGCTGAAGGGTTCTCAAAAAAGTGTCGCTGGTTTTATAATAATCACTTTCGTATTACAGCGAGTTATCGAGAAGAAACCAATTCCGATCAAACCGAATTTACAAAAAATGCGCTGCTCAGCTTGTCATGGTACTGGCCACATGAAGACAAATAAAAACTGTCCGTTGTATGGCAAGGATCCGTTGAAGACACCTGGAAAAGAAACGGCGGTATGCTCTTCGCTCAGCGCAATCCAATTCTTTAGCTATCCATGACCTTGACCAGTTGACGTACTCTGCACTCTGCTTTACATTTGATTACGTAGGGCGTGGAGTTTCTCTTTTTTTCCTGTTCCATTCCTGAATATTTAGTCCGGATCGTCAGACGGTGAAGACGAGCCAGCTTCGCTTACTGGTGAATTGGTGGCGGTGGAGGGTACGAAAGTGAAAATCAGTCGAAAGGTCATCAATAGCCACGAACAGCCTTCAAAAAGAAGAAATTCAAGTGAATTCCGTTCCCGTTTGCCTCGATTTACCGTTTCATCTCGGAATTCTAACTTTTTTGAATACAGGTCTTCTTTACCGCGACATCTGGGCGAAGAGGGATCAGGCAGAAAACGTGGCGAGGATTCTATATGTTCTTCGGATGCCGGCGATGGCACATCGCCGCCGATGCTGGTGAAGCAGGAGCATGAGCAAGAGTTCGATAGTGACTACGAGCAATCAATGACGCCAACGGGTAAGGTTTAAAGCAATATAAGCCCCAATTACACTTTTTGCCTAAGGCTTTTCCCCGTTGGTGAAGGGGATCAACTAAGCTGTATCGAGGAGGAAACCTGGACCGTGAGGGACCTAATGAATTCGTCCAGAATAATTTATAGCTTTGCAACAGTAGTTTATTTTTCAGCCATAACGCCTCGTCCACGCCTTAATGCTGGGGCTGGGGTGGCCTCAGCAAAACGTCGAGCATCGACTTTGCCTGAAGAGGATTATCTGCAAGGACCTCATAAAAGTGTTCAGCGAATACGTGCAGATCCTAAGGTAGGTTTGATCGCTTTGAAACTTTTCATCGTTTGAGTTCATTCATTTATTTGGGATCGGTTTCGGCGAGGAAATTTTTGTTGGAAAGTGTATGTATTAGAACGGGACCGAAATTATTCTGAGTGAAAGTACTACAAGAAAATTACCCAAATCTCCAGGTCACAATGGGCACGTTACTCACGGAGATTGTGAACGAGCTGAAGAAGATTTCTGGTTCTGAACATCTGATGTTTGCCGTGAATGCTAAGAAGGTATGCTTGTAAATAAATCTATAACTGATAGATCATAAATGAGACGTCATTTTTGGAGTACCAAAAGAAGTGCCTTCATTGTACGAAGGTGACTTTATTTCTTGCGGAGCCCACGAAGTAATTGTGTGTTTCTGAGCATAATTTTTAATATCGCCTATTGTCAGGTGAAAGACTATTACGATATCATCAAAAATCCCATGGATCTGCAGAAGATCAAAAGCAAAATTGCGGATAATAAGTACGAGCTAAGGCAGGAGTTTTTGTTGGTGGGTGGTTTATGTTTTTATTTCTCAAACGATAATAAGATGTGAAAATGGCTACTGCTTCTCCTTTAAGGACGTTAAGCGCATGCTTGATAATTCTCGTTTATATAATGGAGACAATCATGTGATAACGCTTGCTGCCAGGAAGGTATGGTGTTCATTTTTTAGAAACGTTTCTATTACTTTTTTTAACCTTTTTTTCTGACACTACACATTCGCACTTTGCTGTCACTCCTGAAGAACTGAGCCCAATTCCAACCGAATTTTGTCCATGACTAAGGATTTGGCGAGAAAGTGGTCTGCAGAGATATTTTACCCATGGAACGAATATCGCATTAGTTTTGCACGAAGGTCTGGCGCCCGCGCATTAGATGCCCGCGTTATTACATCAGTTTTGTGCCGTCGTAAGTCGTGCAGGCTACAAGCTTACTTGCAAAATTTGATGTGGGGTTCTGTTTCATGAGTAACGGCGTTAGGCAATAGATTCACAGCAAATTTGGTAGTTCAAGTTAATATGTCGCCGGCATCTGAGGCGCTGGCGTCAGCCGTTTTCGTGCTAGACGAATGTCAATGCGCTACGGGCCAAACAAGGGGTGTGGTTCGCTAAGACAGAAAGCGAATATTCTGCTTTCCGCACACGAAACTTTTCACTGTAAGAATCTCATTTCCACTCCTCATCAGAAGTGGACCTGAGATCCTACTGCGAAAGAAGTTTTGCGCTGTGTAAAGCGGAAGTCGTTTCCGGTCCTAGCGAACCACGCCCTATGGAATTTCTAACCAAATCCCAGTCATGGGCAAATTTGGATAGAAAGTCCGCTCAGTTTTCGAGGAGTGGAGCAGCAAAGGGTGAGTAGTTGTGCCGTTTTCCTTTCTCAATTGACCTCACTATTCTCTTCCATGCATGATGCAGTCAGGTTGCTGTAGGTAATCAGAAATGGATTTGAAAGAGTGATTCATTCTCTCATTTTCTCACCTGTAACAGTTGATGTTTTAGAAAGATTCCGAGTAGATTCGTATTTTCTTAATCAGATTATTTCTTGAAGATGTTCGAGCTTGCTTCGAAGCGATTGGTGGAGAAAGAACAGCAACTGATGAAGCTGGAAAAGGCGATCAATCCTTTGTTAGATGATAATGACAGAGTGAGTCGATCGCTATATCTTTCCTTCCAAAGCTTTCCTTTCTTATATGCTGAGTAACAGCTGGCCTGCTTGCACTTGTTGGAATGTTCAGGTCGGATTTGGTTTCGTTCTTGAGAAAATCGTACAGGCTTGCAAGAACATCCCAAAATCGGTTCCGTTCCATACGCGAGTGGATGCAAAGAAGGTGGGTGCCTTTTTGATTAGCTTTCTTAATCATGGAGGTTTTGATAACTTTGGATTTCTCATGCTGAATTCAATTCAGGTTCCACTCTATTACCAGAAAATTAGCCGCCCAATGGATTTGGGCACTATAGAAGCAAATGTCAAAGCATACAAATATGTTACTGTGCAAGAATTCCGTGAGGATATTCACCAGGTTGGCCGGTCAAGTGTTTCACCAGTGTAGTGCTGTTCTAACCATGATCTTCGCAGCTGCTGATCGCTCAGTCATCGTATGAAGTACCAATTCAAATCAATCCTTTTCTAGATTCTGATTAATTCCGAGTTATATAACGGCCCTGCTGAGAAGTCATCATACACGGCTAAGGCCACAGAAATTGTTATGCTCGCGGATAAGATGCTAGCAGATCATGCTGTTCAGGTACCTTTGAAAATTTCCGATGCTCTTCGCTCTCTTCTCTTAAGGCTTTGCTTATTGATTTAGTTTCAGTTGTCAGAACTTGAAGCCAATATTAACGGGTTTGATTTGAACATAGGCGAAGTTGAACCGGAAATTGAGGATGCAATGGCCAACGATGGTGAGTTCTCTCCTCCTATTCCTTTTGTGAAGATCTCCGGCTTCATCTTCAACTTATGTATTCTGAATTGCTCAACTTCAGAAGAGATGTCGGAAGTCGAAGAGGGTGGTGTTCTGGTTGATGATCTTGCATTGAGTGGTAACGAGATGGAAGACGAAGAGATGGGTACGTTATTTAGAGGTTGTTTCTGTTGTGCTAAGCTGGGTAGAACAATATTCATCAGAGGGTGGTGTGATATGACTGAGGGTGTTGTCTTTTTGGTCACGTTCCGCATTTAACTTCCATACGGGTGCACCGCTACATTTGAGTGCGATTAGGCTTAAAGCATCAGCCCCAGATCAAATTGGTAGGGTAAGTGTGGTGTCAGAGTCCGCGATCCGCAATCGCGCGATGGAAATGACATGTGCGCCGATCAATACTGCGAGTGCTCTCCAATCCCGCCACATTTCTGCTTGATGGTGATGGTTGAATGACGACTGTTCATGATTCTACTTGTTTCATATTCAGTTTCAAATGTTCAAATGGGGCACTTGCGATTTTTGCGATTCATGCGAATCGCGCGACGGATCGCGGACTCTGGCATCACCCTAACAGTGGTCGATCATGAAAATGTGGATATTGAATCGATTTAAAATGAGAAAAAAAGCAAAGGAGACCGCTAGACCTTAACAAGGAACCCTTTATGTCCATTTTGAGATCAGGAAGGAAAGTGTCAAAACGGATTCAAACGTTCACAGCCACATCAGCGTGCTGCCTATGCCGTATTTATTGGACCTATCGACTGTCTTATCCGCTACATCATAAAGGTGCATGCTATCCCCACGGTTAGCAATGAGGCGTGTCGTTAAAAAGGCACGGTTCAAAGTTGTCGTCTCTCCAATGCCTTACAGCGTTTTTTCAAGAGCACTTTTTTGCTTCAGCACCTTCATATCTTCTCGACTAGGGCGCATGCATCTTTACACTAGAAGTAGCAAATGTATGGAACCATCTGGTGTCGTTGCGTGAAATAACGAGCAGCGGAGATTGTTCGATGTACATGTAAGGCGAAGCTGAAGCCGTGCTGAAAAGATGAACTTATGCAACACCGGCTTTATTGGCCTTTTCTTGTGATGCGCCATGTACACTGCTTCCAATCGGGATCGGGACGGAATTGCGACTCTGTAATAAGCTTTGGCGGACCTGTCGATCACAAGTAATTGTTTGTATTCTCCCAAATATGATTCTAATGCCACCAACCTAAACCGAAGGAATAGAAAGGTCACTTAGTCTAGATGAGATTTGACCAGCCGGCTGTGCGCGTCGGCAACTACGCTACTTGCCACTGCACCGCTTCCGCTAGAAATTATCTCCGAAGAATGAATGGGTCAATCTGTCACAGAATGAATCAGACCAGGGTGAAAATCGTGTCGAGTACGTGGTCGCAGAGGTACGACCCCCCCCCCCCGAAATCGAGATCCTGGCACGACCCCCTCTAACAGAGCAAATTAATTCAATTAATTAATCAAATAAATCCTGCAAAACAAATCAAAAAAAATCTGCAAAATAATGTTAGGACGCCTCATCTTGTCATCTATGCACTGTCTTTCATCGCTGCACACTTTTGTGTATTTACTGAAATATCGACTCGAGGAAAGAGGCATTAACTTTGTGTGACCTCAAAGTCAGGTTCGTTCAGAAATGCACAGAAATCCTGAAGGCACGGGGTTGCGATTCAATCTTGATTCCTGCTTGAGTATATCAAAACAGCCGAGTGTATCAAAGGCCGATTCAACGGCAGCTGCGGCGCGATTGTCACTGGGTCAGATTTGCTGAAAGAAAAAAAAACCGTCGAAATCTACACCCTCGATGAAAAGGTTGCATTCCTCCATTTCATAACCTTTGAAGCAGTTTGAGGTAGGGTTAGATAGAGCTGGATTTCGCGTTTCCAAGAAGTATTGAAATTGCTCTGAAAGCCTTCCATGCAGAAAGATAGGGTCTCTCAAATTTCGTCGAGTAAACGTCGAGGATGCTGAAATTTTCACGCTAGTTTTTGCCACTTCAAGAGCAATATCTCTCTAATTCGTAAGATCCTGAAAAAGGGAAGATAGTTTTGGAAAGCGGAAGGTTTGCGCTTTCTGATGGTCTTCTTAGCTTTCTTCTACATTTCCTAGTTGAGAAGATATCTGCGTCGAGTATGTATCGAGGACGGATCCGGCCACCTGAAAATCCGCTCCCTCCTTCACCATTGCAAGTGTAATTGTTGGCAACGCTTGAAATGGGTCTAGAAAACATGATCATGACCAGTTGACAGAAGCTGCATTGTAGTAAACGCATTTCGTAACTCCTACAACCTAAAGAACAACTTCATTTGCCCAGGGCTTTTCCTTCACGGTTGTCGTTTTTGCGACAGGGTCCCTAACAACAGTGTCATTCTCAGCGAGGTATTAAGGGAGAAGGAGCGAGCGATAGGCAGAGGAGGTGCCTTTGCAGCGCGTGCGCACATGTGGCAGTCTTCTTTGCGGGGATGCACTTTCATTCTTTGTACTGCCTTCAAATACGCCCTTCTCATGAAGGTGGAGGAATGGAGCGACTGAACCTGCAAAGAAAATTTAATATCATGTTTTTTTTTCAGATATTTTCATTTTCTGCTGCGCTATACCCTCTTACCTATCTGCACCACGATACCACTGCTGTTACTGACCCCCAAGAGTACGACCCCCCATGACCCAGCCCGACAGGTACGACCCCCCTGTCGAGGATTTCCTCGACCGATATTCACCCTGCTCGGTACTATCTCTCTTGCCACACATTTGCGTAACGGCGTCATTCGCTTTCACATACCCGCTCATTATTTTTTTTGTCGTCCTACGTTCTTTGTGGTGAGCCACCCTTTTTTACTGAGGTTCCGCCATCGTAAGTGTGCCCTTCAGATTGCTATTTCCGTGGTCTTACTGGATAGTATCTCTGAATATATTTAATAAAGTTTAATCAGGAAGTTTTTTGCAGACGAGTCGGCATGGACAAGTGAGCTTCTGCAGTCCCGAATGCACTCGTCCGGTCAGCTTAATAATGACCTGGCTCTGTCGGATTCCGATGACGAGGAACGAATGGAGGCAATCAAGCGCGGTGACACTTCTGATAACCTCTTGGACTCTTTTTAAGACTTGGTTGCCGTCCCTTCGACATAATCTCCGTCCCCTCTGCTTGACCATGACGGAACTGGAGGGCTAGAAGTTCTTCAGTCACTCGTCTTCAGCCAACCCATCCGTGAGCACCATCGCTGCCCTCATCATTCCTTCGCTTTGCCACATATCTTTCATAGTCTACCTCCGCCTTATGCACTTGCTCACGCTAGGACCTCTTGTGGAGGCAAAGGCTTCAATTTGTTTATTTTTTTTTACCTCAGTTGCTTTCCATTCATCCATACTTTGCAATCCTTTGACAAACTGTATATGATCTTTTTACGGTTCCATATTTATGTGCGTTCAGTGGAATTCGATTGTTTACAAACTATGCTTTGCAGCTGTAGTGTAGCGAAAATAGGCGGTTATGTTGCAATTCCAGTTGATAGGATGAGGATTGAGATAATCAGTGCAGTGAGGCGAGACGGAGCATTTCCACCACGTCCTACGCATGCAATTGGTGGGTGCTCTCGCCAACCAATCATTTGTGAAGGCGTGGCCGTACCAGTTGTTGGCCGGGTTGCCTGTCCGTCTTTCATAATAAATTGGAGAAGTAAGCCGGTGGTTTCTTCTTTATATGCTAGTCAGACGCATTGTGTATGTATACTACTGTATCTCGTATCTATGTTGCGTTCACATGTATTTTAAGCGGAAATGCGTTCTGCTTTTTTTGATCTGATAATAGTGATTGATAATCATCTCGATTTTGAGGGTTCATCTACGATGTTATTGTTTTTCCGTTATTTCCTGCCTTGTTTTATTTTTTATTATTTCGCGTACTGTTTTGCAAAGAATTAAGAGAATTATAAAGATTCATTATCACAAGTCGCAAGGGCCTTAACGGCTACGCCTCGTAGCGACCGCACGTGCCTCGAAAGCCGGCTGTCTCGTATCCAACCATTTGAGGGGTTGGTGTTTTTAGAAAATTCAACGAAATTCTTTCTCGTTTGACGCTTTTCTTGAGAAAACATCGACAATTCATAAGATGTGGCCACGCATTCAGTGCTACAAGGTGGGTATTGATTTTGTGTACGTTTTTGTCCAGCAGCCATGGCGCGTCTGG